AGTTTTCTTCAGATAATCTTGAACAGTTGGACCGCAGGTCGAAGGTTTGTGCTGGGTAAATAACTTTGTCTGGGCCTGGGTTTGGGCCTGAAGTTGGAGGCTTTGGGAGTGCCTGGTAGTCCTGGTAGTCCTGGGAGGCCCTGGGAGGCCGGGCCCTGGAAGGCTCTGGCAGCCCTAGAAAGGCCTCAACAAAAGCCTAGGGCGGCTTGACGGGTTATTGGTCAGCGGCCTGCCGGGCTTACCACGCNNNNCGCCGGAGGGCTTTGGGCTCCAGAGCTGCCCCTGCTCGACGGCCCGGGCTCACTCAGTTTAGGGTTAGGGGTTTAGGGTTCAGGGTTTAGGGGTTTAGGGTGTGCAGCAGGTGAGGTTGTGCGCTGGGGCGTGAAACGCCTCTGGCCGCGCGCTTGCGTCGCTTGTAAGCCAAACGGTTCCTGCATGCACACACGATGCATGACACCCTCGATAACGCTGCATTAGCTGGACGTGCCAGTTTACAGGCTCAGCGCACTTTTCGGGCTTGAGCAGTGTATGGACCTGGCACAAGCTTCTTTTGAGACGCTTGACGGATTATTCATGGAGGCTGGAGGTGTTTTTTTGGACCTCGAGCATAGTTCCATCGCTGAATAAGGCACCAATCCTGGCAATTGGGAGACTGCATGGCCCCTTGAATTTTGTCGCATTTGCTCAAGAATTATCGTTTCTACTTGTGATCTCATGTGAGGGTCTGTGGGTGCTTCCACTCGCGTCGCTTGCCGCGGGGCTACGCAGGTCTGCCTTGAGGTCGCGCCTGATGACTGCACGGCAGCGCCACAACATTTGCAGACTCTATTATCTATGTGTATTTCCAGGCTCTTGACAGAATGCCTGCCTTGTAGAACGTGAGATGGTCTGGAACAAATGCAATTGCCAACGGTAGCTTTTCATTGCTTGGCAAGGTTTGTGTCCCACATGCCATGATGATCAGACCTTTCAGCTCTTTACAAGATGATTTCTTTTGCAATGGCAGCGCGTCTCTTACAGCCATCGGCCCGTAAGTGACCTACATGCCTGAAAGACCCCTTGCTGTTGATCAGTGCGCGAATTGCCTCCAATTGAAGCCCGTGTGCTTTTGGTAACGCGTTTTCATGCGCAAACTGATTGTCCACGTTGGAGCCATCCTGTTCTTGAATCCGCCGGAATATTTGCGCACCATGCTCCCTGACAACCATGCTTGCCACTTGTGGAGATTGCGGGGTGGAATGTCTTGAAGCATTATGCTGCGACAGCAACGACATGTTGGAAGTCACTATTGCCAAATAGTCGTGCAAGACGGCAAAGCTAAAGGTGAACGTGCCGGAAGTATAGCACCATTGCAGCAGCATTGGAGCAAGCAGTTCGGGGAAGGCGATCAAGGATGGCGGAAAGGATATTCGAGGAGCCTGCAGTAGCTTCATACTCCTCAGGATCTGGATCATAAGCACGAGGCCTTAATGAGGCATACGCACTAGGACCAGCAACCAGGTCTGAAAGGCCGCTTTCCCCCGTGCTCAGAACCTCATGGTAGGAGCTCCAATTCTTGGCTAAGAGGCGCCACAACAATGCTGCTGCCACAAATGATGCCTCCCTCAGGCTGTCCCTCAAGTGGGGCAGCCTTGCCTTGGACATGGGTGTTTGCAAGGTTCAAATCTGGACCTGATCAGACACAATTTAGTAAGAGTCCCTTTCACAAGGATGATCGTATTTTAAGATTTATATTGGGACGTTTCCTTGGTGTTGGATTAGAAACAAGCATTCCATTCCAGAAACCACAAGGCAATGATGGCCCCAGGGAGGCCCCTGGGAAGCCTGGGAGCGGCGGGCCTGCCACGTCCACCAAAGAAAACATGGCGGTCATACTATCAATAGCCTGGTTATAGGGGAGGTCCAGTATGGCCGGCCCTCCATGAGGTTTCCTGGAGAGTTGAACACGGCTTGTGAGTTGACCTGCGCTGGTGAAGGAGGTGAGGCTTTACCCTC